GAGCTGCTAACTTTTTATAGTGACAACATGAAAATTTAGAGTTATCTAAAACCTTAGAGCTGCCTAGAACAACTGGGAATTAAGGAAAAGGATGAAAAGATGGTGTATGAGAGAGTAAAAGAGGGAATAAAGGCATAATTTGAGCCTTAGTTATATAATTATGCCATTCTTGGTGATCCATGAAGGACCAAAAATGGGATTACTAATTTCTGTATTATCATTAGTACTTCTATAGTTCTGATGGTATCATCTCATCTCATTCCTAATGCAGATATTCCTCTCTTATGGGGATTTTTAACAGGCTGGCATGAGTGCTTATCAAGATCAAATATTTTCAAGGAACACACTGTCTTCATTGGAGTGGGAATCCCTAACTGCTGCCCAAATTGCAGTAAGAAATATCCCCCCGAGAATCCTAACCACCAACCATTCTTAAGACCTAACACCACTGGATATTTGCTCAGTGTTTCTTGTACTTCCCCAGGGAGTATTTTTTAAATAAAAAGAATTGAGAAAGTTCTATTGCAGTGACTCTCAACCTTGGCTGCACACTGTAATTACCTGAAAAGCTTTTAAAATTCAGCTTTTGAAAGCACTGATGCCTGGGTTCTTACTCCCAAAGATTCAGATACAACAGGTCTTGAGTGTGACCTATGTAATGAAATTTTTAGATTTCCCCCAAGTGAACCAAATGGGTAGCCCAGGCCCCTGTCACCCATACGAGTACTGTCTGGGAAAGTTCATCCTTGCAACACCCAACATTCACTTCAAAGCAGATACCATGCTAGACACAGGGGCACAAAACTAAGTAAGACAAGATCCCTGTCCTAAAGGAGTTTGCTTCCTCATGGAGAGGTCAGATATAAAACAATTGCAATATCTTTAATACACCCTCAGACACTAACCGCACCACCACCCCTCTACTTTGAAGAATTTCATTTGTTAATTGGCAGAGTATTCAGAACATTTGTTCCAATTTTCTCCATAGCAGGGAAATTTTTCTTCAGGACCTCCAGAGTTGTGGTTCTCTAGACTATGCTGCCACTAAAAGCAAACAGGCACTCTCCTTTACAGTCCACTCTAAAGGTGAATGCCCCCTTCCTTCCTGGGGTCAAGGAGGAAAAGAAGAACAGCAAAACTTCCTGTAATAGATATTGTTCTTTAGCTACCATAGACATACTCCCACCCACCGTCACCGTTTCTTCCCTCTGTGCAACGAGAATATCAATTTTATGTTCAGTCAGATAGGGAAGGTGGGCTTCCCCTAAAGTTCAGGAATTGATCAGGGTCAACTGGAAACAGTTACCGCAATGCCTTTCCACTTTGCCAGGTACATTCTTTCCCAGCCCCCTTTGCCACTAAAGGCACCATAAAACACAGTTTCGGCCAATAAAGTAAAAGGAGAAGTTTGAAAATGAGCTTCAGGGAACATTTCTCCATGATAGGAGAAAGCTTCTGGCCCTTTTTTTTTCTTTTTCCTGTATTCAAATAGATTTAATGCCTGATGCTGGAACAGATATCTTGAGACCATGAAGCAACAAGCACAGCACACAAAGGCAACCTGCTGAGAACCAGTAGTCAGAAAGAGCAAAGGAGCCTAAGTCCTGTATGACCTTATTGAGCCCGTGCTCCAGCCTTTGACAGACTTCATTCAGACTTCTTACCCTATGCAAAAAGTTAAACCCTATTTGTTTAAGTTATTCTTGGTCAGGTTTTCTGCTACTGTCAACATCATAACTAATATACAGCCCTTCCTCCCTGCTACTTTGTCCACCTAGCCTCCAGAAGACTAACATATTAGATGGCAATATAATGATGAAGTTATTTTGGAGGGAAGTTCATAAGAGAAATATAGTGTGAGATGGACAAAGGTAACATTCTGGCTAATCTGGACTCTTCCATGCACCATTTAAGCAAAGCATCTCCAGACTTTGGTCTTCATCCTTCACAATAAAAGTGACCACCTCAAAGCTTCCTCTGCTTTGGATCAGACCCATTGACCTCCAGTTCACAGCTGTGCTGTGGGGGTTTTCACTATCAAACTAGGGATCCCCATTTCCCAAGATCTCCTTCCCTGGATGGTCTGAGGTAGGCTGGCCAAAAGAAGAATTTGCATGAGATTTGAAAGACAGAAGTAAAGCAGTGACCATTATTCTCTGGAGTTCATTGTTGATAGACATAGAGATGAACAGATGCAGAAATAACCGGTAGGTTTCATTTCATCCTCAATTTCCTCTGTTCTGCATCCAACTCTTCTTCCCAAATGCTGACCTTGTTGACCCCAGGCCCACCACAGGCAGCAACCATATAGAGGCAAGAACTTGCCACAGATCTTTCCATGTGCTTCGCCTTTGCAGCCCCATTTTAATGGCTGGACATGTCTAGCTCCTCAGATGGACTGTTAGTACAACCATTATGGAAAATGATATGGAGGTTTCTCAAAAAGTCCTATATTTTCTGATTCTGCAACTCCTCTTTCAGATTGTCACTTTCCCAGCACCTCAACTGTATAAGACCTAATTCCTATAATAAATGCCTTATCTCATAACACTCATGTATACTCTGTTCCCTGACTGATGCACCTGCTCACCCACTCTCTTCCCTCCTATACTCCACTCCATGGGTGAAAAGACCCTATTCTCAATTTCTTCCTCAGATCAGATGGCAAGAAGTGATGTTTTCCCCACCCTATTACAGTTTATTAACCAGAGTCAACATGTGTCCCCCAATTCTAGCTCCAGCTTTCCTCCTGCGATAGTGACAAGCCTGCTGATTCTTTTACTAGGAGACCAATTAAATAAGCACTTTTCTCAGTGACAAACATTAGCTTTCCTTGGAAACAAATAAGTCTCCACGTAGAAGAAAGAACATTTCCCCAGTAACAGGGCTCTATCTTGCCATGGACAAATAATGGGCAACCAGTTTTAGCTCAGAAACACTGGGGTTTCATTCAACTGGGCAGAGACCAGACAGCTACACAAGAGAATCACACAGCGACACATGAGAATCGCACAGCTACACATGAGAATCGCACAGTGGCATCATGTTTCCCTGGTAATGGCCCCCGCTCAGGTCGTACCATCTCGAGCTATGTCTCTCTTTGATGCAAAGGTTAGGGAATGGGGGTGTTATTTGGCAATTCCTCCCACCAGAGAGTGTGAAGTAAGAGCTATGAAAACACTAAGTATGAAGTGATAAATGTAGCTGGAGAGCATAGAGGTTTCCATTTCATCTGGAACCTCTCTTGTTAGAAAGGGGGGAAATACTTTTCCAAGCTGTGTATCCTTCGCTATCTGAATATATTCTATTCCCAGGTCCACACATTAAGAGCTTGAGTAAGAAGGAAATAGAGCATTATCAGAACCTATTCCGATTCCTCACACTGAAACACTTTAGCACCTCCTTGCAAGGAAAGGGGAGGGAGAAAACTTTTCACAGCATTTCAGTAAAATATCACCCTTGTTTTATTAGCAATATTTCTAGTCACAGGTTTTTAAACACAGAATCCAATGAATCATAACCCATAATCATTTTGATAAAATAGCAAATGTTAACACAGAAATCTCTTTACAACCATTTTTTCTGAGAGAAGAATTGTCATTTCGACCTTTCTTTCTCAGATTTCAAAGCTGCCAAAAAATGAGTACACCTTGACCTCCTAAAATAAAAAATGTCATCAGTAGCACTCTATCACTCCATAGTCTTTTCAAAAGAAGCAGTAATTGCTTAAAAGTTAAGCCTTAAATTTAGGTTTCCTTAAAGACAGGTAGCACTTTAACATGTAAAATAGATCATAAAGTTCAGCTGTAAAATTAACTTTTACCCCAGTGAACTTTTCTTAAGCTGCTGAAATATTGCCATAAAAGGTCAAATCCTTGGTAAACTTCAGAGAGCAAGATTGTTCAAATAACGTTCAGGTTGAAATAGGCAAATAAATGTGCTAATCATTCGAGCAGGATGAGACTGGGGTGTGTGGAAGTGGATGATATGCAGCTTGGAAAAGTCTTTAAAATATAGCCAATATGAATTTCAGTCAACAAACTCGCATATGAAATAAAAATCGCTTTTATTTACTATATATCAGTACTTTGGGCCAGCAGAAAATTCAGCCTGAGGCATTCTTGGTGCTCCCACATACCCTCCCAGGGTTAAACCAGGATTCCAGGGTTTGCCTAACAACAATTCAAATGGAAAACCACTCTGGCCACTGGTCTGCCCAACCAGGTCATGCCTGTGAGCTGGTCTTCGTAGTGTACTTCAAAGCCAACAGCCCTCTACAGCTTCCTTGCCACCAATGGGACGTGAGAGTCTGCTGAGGCTGGAAACCCAGCATTTGGGATGCTGCCCTCCTGCTCACACAAACTCCCCTCGGGAATCTGGCTGTTTCTTCTGGATGCGGCCACAGGCAGTACACCTACCTGTAGTATGCACAGATCTCCTTCTCCTTTCAGACCTGGATGGTGCCCACATACACCTCCCAGCTTCCCCAGAACTCTGTCCATCTCAAATCTTGTCTTCCTTCTTTTTTAACAAAACCCTTTGGTGGCTGAGTAAACCTATTATCTGAAATAGTCTCCTCCTCCTCTTCCTCCTCCTCTTCCTCCTCCTCCTCTTCCTCCTCCTCCTCCCAGGAACCTTTATTTCCTTACTTGTTTTATTTTTGTCATAGCACTTTTTTGAAATCAAATACTTTTATTTTTAATTGTACTGCTCTACCTATACAAACATTTCTCCCTCTACGTCTCCCTATACATTTACATAAAAAGTAAACTAGTACCCAGAATAATGGGTACTAGTGATAGATGCTCAACAAAGCATTATTGAATAAGTGTTGAACACAATTTAGCCACCAACTAGTTACACTGTCCTCATGAGCAGAGAGGGTTTTATCATCAAACCCTCCTAGGAAGCAGGTGAAAATATTTGTTTCACATCCATCCAGTACACTGAATAAAAGAAAAAAGAAACAGTTATGTTTCTATGTTTCAACTAGTCTGAATGTTCTTACCTTGCCACATACACTTTGAAGTTAAATGATCATAATACTGCCTTGGGTCTCCATGAAACACCCACGTTGTCCTGAAGCTAATTTGTGCTAGGACTGATGACTTACAGTTTTCTCCCTGTGCAGTGCAATGAGAGAAACCTGTGAAACGAGAGAGGAAGAAAGAGAAGGGCAGAAAGGACTCCTGATCTTACTGTTTGTGCTCTACTTCTGTTACATTTCAATCATTACATTATATCATGGGGTTCTAGGAAATTGTAGGAAAACCTTTTAATTCAGAACAATGAAAACTAGTCACCTAAACATAGAAAATGTATAGGAATTAAATAAAACATTGTAACTGGCTAATGAGCAAGAAATTGTTGCGAGGAAGATGTCTGTTAAAAATACAGCCTTGTCAGTTTAGTTTTATCTAACTATAGAAGAAAAGGGCAGAAATCAATTTCACAAAAAAAGCCAGGTGTTACATCTCTTTATCACTGTGCAATTGCACTTATAATGCATTCATAGGACCTATTGACTCAAGTTATTACATTCTAATATAGATTAGCTAAATTGTTGAAACACAGATACACACTCAAAGAGAACATTAATTTTAAAATCCAATTTTATATTACATTTCTTGAGAAGTTTTAGTGTGGTTTGAAATCCATCCTGGAAGACTATAGTAGAATATTCTGCCCATTTGTATTTTATGTGAGAAAACCAACAGGTTCACCATTTATTTCTAACTAAAATTGAATTGTCTGAGAATTGCAATAACTGTCAGCCTTTAAAGAGCTTATCTCACGTCTCAAACTTTAATTGGATTGTTTTCTGAGGCAGCCTTTCCTTTTCAATTTCATAAAGACCATAAATGCTTCTATTATTGTTCTTTTGTTCTCTTCCTTCAGAATTTTGCTCATTTTAATTTTTAGTTACAGTGGCCTAAAATGACCCTATTTTCTCTTCTAACCCAAAATTCAAGTGACTGCAGCTATGGGACCATTTGACATCTTCCAATCTATAATTACATTGATAAGATAAGTAGGAGCTTACTAAGGAAGGCAATGAGTGAGTCATTTATAATATTTGCAAGTGATCAAAATCCTAAAGAAGCAATGCAATTTCATTCTACAAATGAATAATTTTTAAGTCATGTGCCTGGAGCTAGTCCAGTTATCAAGAAATCAAACCAGAAAATGACAGAAGACATTATTTTGTCATGCCAAATTTCTAGCTGTAAGTTCTCTAACAAGAGACAGTTCTTGTGTAACAAATAAGGCACTCAACAAAATTTACTACAAACAAAATCTGTATACTAATATAAAAATTTTTTGGCATTAAAAACTAAAATAGAGGCTGGGCATGGTGGTTCATGCCTATAATCCCAATACTTTAGGAGGCTGAGGTAGGAGGATTGCTCAAGCCCAGGAATTGGAGACCAGGCTGGGTAATACAATGAGACCCCATCTTGACAAAAAATAAAAAATAAAAAATTAGCCAGGCATGGTGGCACACACCGGTATTCCCAGCTACTTGGGAGGCTGAGGTGGGAGGATCAGTTGAGCCCAGGAGGCAGAGGGTCAGTGAGCTAAGATCATGCAACTGTACTCCAGCCCAGATGACAGAGTGAGACACCATCTCAAAAAATAAAAAAAAAAACTAACTAAAATAGGATTATACTGGAAAAATGTCACCCATAAATACATTACAATATATTGAACTCCTAAGCATGCTTAGCACTATATTAGGCACTATGGTAATACAAACATTTTAAATCTCAGTTTAAAATATCATTATAGCACAAATGTAAAAATAAAGCAAAATGGCAACAAACTTTTAAAAAAATATTTTTTTAATTAAAATTAAGAAGAGAATCTAGGCAGTACTCCACAGCCTCTTCTAGACATACACATAGCTACAAATATGATTTCAATTTTATATATATATATACACACACACACACACACACACACACACACACCACGCACCACCCCACACTGTCATACACATACACACATTAATAGCAGCTATCTCTTGGTGGTGGATTAATAATTTTTTTCTTCTTTAGATATTTGAAAAATTTTTATAATGACTAACTGTATATTACCTTGGTAATCAAATACTGAACTACCTTGGTAATCACACATGCATATTTGAAGTCATCTTGACTCCCTAAATGATACCTACTTATTCCAATATATTTATATTTTAAGTACCAAAGGATGCTCTATATATATTGAATAAATACTGAATCAGGGACATGAACAATATAACCCTATCATAGCTTCTTAGGAAATATAATCTATGCCCTACTCTATTGTAGTAGTCTGTTTTCACACTGCTATAAAGATACTATCTAAGACTGGGAAATTTGTAAAAGAAAGAGGTTTGATTGACCCACAGTTCTGCATGGCTGGTGAGGCCTCAGGAACCTTACAATCATGGCAGAAGGCAAAGGGAAAGCAAGGCACCTTCTTCGTAAGGCTGCAGGAGAGACAGAAGCAACAGTGCAGGACAACTGTCCTTTATAAAACCATCAGATCTCATGAAACTTATTCACTATCACGAGAATACCATGAGAAAATTGCCCCCATGATCCAATGATCTCCCACCACGTTCCCCCCTCGACATGTGGGGATTATGGAAATTACAATTCAAGATGAGATTTGGCTGGGGACATAGAGCCAAATCATATCATCTGTTTATCGTTCTCAAAAGAATCAGAACTTCCCCTCCCAATCTCTCATCCCCTCCTCCCCACACGCATCAGAATCATGGCATATAAGCTCTCCACTTCTTTCTTACGTGTCACAGAGAATTTTGGAAGACAATATCTGAGTCTGAAAGTCTTTATTAGACATTTTTAGGTAGGATACCATTGAGATCCCTTCAAATTTCACTATGTGAGACTACGTCAACCAATGAAGGGCCAAATTAGGCTCTTTAGAGGCCTAAACACTGACAAGGTTAAACTCTTCATATGGCATTTTTCAAAGTGACACAAAAAAATCACATACATACTAAAATTAAAATAGCCTCTGTCTAACTGTTCTACCTTCAAAGTTCAGGTTTAGAATTCTCTTTTCAATAGTGGAGGCAGGTGGTTCTTTGCTGGTCTCCTAAGCTTGCCAATAATCCATTCAGTGCCTACGCCAGCCATGCACCTAGACAAGAGAACTCTGCTCACCTTCTCAGTTCTGCAGTAAATCTTTGATTGCAGATTAGGGAATTGAATTGCCAGCACATATTCTATTTGTATAAATTTTCCACTTCACAAAGTCAAGAAGTTTCCAAATTAGCGATAAGAACATAATTTCTAAACTGCTGCTTTCTGTCTTTTGAGTTTATTTCTTTTTCTTCCTGTCTGAAGCACACAAAGCCATACCTCCAAGATCAGATATCAGTTCACATATAACTCCTCTCATTTCCATCTCTTACAAAACCATTCTTCTCATCACAAAACAAGCTAACCGAAAGACTAATTTGAGTACAGTTGGAATAATTTATTCCTATCTAGCTTTATAAACACATAAGTAATGAAAATTCAAATATGTAAGCATGTATACATTTTAGGCATTTTAAGATTTGACTTTGAATTAAGAAAGATGCTATCAAAAGAGAGCTTGTGTATTGCAGGAAGCAGCTTGGTCAATACTCAAGCTCTACAGAATGAAAATGAAGACTGAATCCAGCTAAGTAATCAATTATCAACAGCTAGAGGTGGGTTTGTGTTTTGCTCAGAGTTTAAGTGTTAGCAATTAGAAATTCACAAGTGTCACTGGCATCTAAAGTGAAGAAGAGAGCTCTCAATGCTACTGTTTAAGCTTAGTTGACAATAAAGAAAAAGGGAAAAGAAGCTTTGTTTGTAATCTTAAAAATCACACATGCACAAAAGAATACATTTCTACCACTACTCTTCCACAGTAGCAGTAACCAAAGAATTTAGAACCAAATGATTCAGGAATTTAAGAGTTCATTAAATAGAGGGAAGAATTAGATATCCAGTGCACTGGCTTCCTTTTCATTTGAAGTGGATGTTTGTTACGTGTTCTATTTAATACGAAGCGACTAAGACCCACTAATGCTTCAGTTCATCCAGGGAGCGTCCCCAGCTGACACTCTCATTGTCACCTTAGCAATGAGGCAGGACTGCCAGGCAATTTCTACCTTATAGCTCTAAGAGATCTCTAAGCTGTACCTCCAAAATGAACTGATAGGTAAATTGCCTCTAACCCAATCCTCTTTTATCACCAAATGCATTTCAAAATATAGTTCAGGCTTTTTTTTTTCATTTAATCAAACAAAAATACTTGCAGAAACATGTTAGTGTACAACGTAAATGCTACCTTATTAATGTATAATTGTGATAGCCCAGCCTTTCATGCATATGTTAATACTGTTGCTATCAGATTGAGTCCATAAAGAGGCTGTGGGTAAAAATCCAGAGTCACCACCTGGTACAAAGTTAGGTGTATGCCTTTCAAAATTACTCCTCTTTTCATGAGGGTTGGAAATTTCCAACATTTAAAACTCACTGATTCTAGGAACCTCTTTGGAATACCCTTGGATGCTATTATAATTAGTTAATAATGAATTCACAAGAATTAGTAATTAAACAATATAGAGTCAGTCATTTATAAAAATAATGTCCCATGTAGAATAAAAGTTCTAAAATTTTCGATTTCATTATGTAATTAAACCATAACAGACTATATTTTAGCAGGTTACTGCTATGGTTTGAATGTTTGTGTCCCCTCCAAATTTATGTGGAAACTTAATCCCCAATGCAACAATATTAAGAGGCGAGGCCTTTAGAAGGTGATTAGGCCATGAGGGCTCTGCCCTCTGGATTTCTGCATTGTAAAAGGGCTTGAGGGACTGAGTTTACCCCTTTCATCAAGTGAGGCAGAGGCTGCACAACTGGTTCACAGCCCCTTTTTTCTGGCCCTGGCTGCTGGCATCCCCACTGACCTGGTTTCTTTTGCTGGTGCATTCAGCTGCTGGTTCCATTTTATGGAAAGTTTGGTAGTCTTCAAGCATCCTGCTGGTCAGTCTGTCCATAACCTCTTCGTGTCAGGAGAAAAATGGGTTTGTCACCACAACTCCCAGGTAGTGGTCTATTCCATAGCCTCT